AGAGAGAGAGAGAGAGAGAGAGAGAGAGAGAGAGAGAGAGAGAGAGAGAGAGAGAGAGAGAGAGAGAGAGAGAGAGAGAGAGAGAGAGAGAGAGAGAGAGAGAGAGAGAGAGAGAGAGAGAGAGAGAGAGAGAGAGAGAGAGAGAGAGAGAGAGAGAGAGAGAGAGAGAGAGAGAGAGAGAGAGAGAGAGAGAGAGAGAGAGAGAGGAAGGAGGTGGCGGAGGAGGAGGAGAAATTAAGAAATATTAAATTAAAATTAGGTCGTAAGGCTTGGGAACTGAAGCAGTACTATCAGGGCCTCCGAGCTGAGTGACAGCGTCGACAAAGCGCTCATGAAGCTCGACAGTCCAACGGAGGCGGGGCTTGGGGTCGGTGGTGAGGACGAGACCAGAGTCGCCTTGTACGCACACCCCTCTCTCGTGAGAATTCATACTCGACGCTTTCTTCGGATGGAACATTCTCTCTACCTCCGAAGCGAATACGGATAGATTCAAGAACAAATCCCACCCCCAAAGTAGTAGCTGCCGACTCACGTTGGCGGTGAAGCCCTTAATTCGCTTTCTTTCTCAACTCAAAAGCACCTGACCCTCCCTCAGATTATCTTTAATTTAGATAAATAGTATAAAGTAAACAATATATAATGTCCATTCTATAAAGATACCCCTTCTCTCTCTTTCTCTCTCCTCTCACCGTGTATGAGCCAGAGAGAGCCATTAATTAAGTAGTAAATAAACCCAAATTCGTCATGCTTTATGTTTGTATTTTATGCATTTTCAATTACCAACACAAATCTCATCACTTGCTAATACAGTAAATTATTATATTAACATCCTCCAACTCCAACGAAGTAGTATAAGTTGATTAATTTTATTTTGAGTTACACATCTTTTACTTTTAGTTTAATTATTACATGACCAAATAAGATCCGTTCTATTCCACCAATGGTACAGATGTGTTTGAAAAGCTTAAACACACACATCAGTAGGTCATTTAGGTCATTCGAATCAAAATACCAAACAAAAAGTTTCTCATCATAACATTATAATATTATGTCTTCAGTTATTGTGTGTTTAATTTTCAATTTTTGTATATTGGTGTTTACCTTCCAAATCCTATAATTATAATTACTTATACCTACACCAATATTTTATTAATCTTTTTACCTATTACATTTTTCATGATTAAATTAGGTGAAGGGTTGAGTTATGATCGCATGTAAAATTATGCACATAATTTAAGGTATACTAATGATTCTTAGAAAGAAGCGATGGCGATGTGGAAATCAGTGTAAAATGCAAAAGGGGAGAATGTTTGTGAAGCTTTTTATGACACAAGTGGAGGGAGCTTCCCATCTTCTAAAGTTTTTAGTTTTAGACTAAAAAACTGACCCTTTATCTCTTTTGTCCAATTCAAGCTTGTCTTCTCTTCTTCCACTTCTCTCTCTGCTCTTTCTTTCCTTCCATCTCTCTACAGTCCACAAACAAACAGACAGATTAAAGTTACCTCCATGAACACCCCCTTCAATACTGCTCCTTAAATTGAACGTCACATACACAAACACACATTTTAATAACCAATTACTTCGATTTCTATGCTATTCTTGTTTTTTCTGTACCCACTACAATACAAGCATGCAATTGGATACCATTTTCAACAAATTGGAATTAGTATCGATTCATTTTAATCTATCTACCTAAAAAAGAAAACAAATTCAAACACCATCCATGACCTGTGGCTAAATCCAAACGGGAATAAATGCTTCTCTTCTTTACCAATCAATGAAAGATTCTTTTGGTGACCAAATTAATTTGTTCAATACACTTAAGATTTTAATGTACATACAACAATCAGCTAGGGTTACACATGCAAATTTCATAATTCAATTTATTCAACATGCAAATTTATTTTCCAATTCAAAAAAGTTGGAGTGGACACCGCGCCATTTGCTTAATACTTATGCCTCATGAAATGACTTTGGACACATATTTAAATATTGCAAGAAGGAGCATTTTTCAGAGGTTGATGGAATGTTCAAGATTCTTTTAATTATTTGCACTGTTTGAATGCTTAAAATGCTTGCATACTTCTTTAATGAATTAAGCTGGGTGGGAATTTAAATTCAAAAATCAAAAGATCCAGGGGCAGCGTCAAGGACATGGTTGCTTGAATTTCAAGCATCGATCTTTATATAAATATTCTATTCTTTTGGATGAATATATTCCTTTGAAGGTGAAATTGAAATTGAGGGACCTATCTTTAATTTAAGTACAGTTTGAATACTTTACTGCATTCTCATCTCCTACCTTTTTAACTTCCTACTTCTTCCGCCAACCAATGTGCGCCATTCAATCCACCATAAGGTGCGTATACCCATGGAAAACATCACAAATGTATAAACACCATCCTCCTTCCTCTATATTTCATAATTCGCTTATACCTTATTTCTTCTTTATTTTCAAGTACCTATAAATACGTAAAATGCAATGGTTAAGGTTAGATACTTTGGTTCCTTTATATGGATTATTTGTTATGACCTGATTTTTGGAACTTTGAATCTTGAAATGAGAAGAAAATAAAAGTAAAAATACGGTAACATTTTGAGCAATTTAAAGACAAACAAACACTACAATTAAAACAAATCAAAATCACTACAAATTGGTGTTGTTCAAGTTAACTATAAATCAGGAATCAAGATACAAATTTAAACCATACAAAAGACTCAAAATTCAATAAAGGACTTGCTTCTTGAGCAAACCTCGTCTATAGCCACACAGCTCCTGAACTCTTTTCTGCCTATGCCAACAGTTAGTAAATACCTGAAGAAGAAATATAGAATAGGGTGAGTATAAAAATATTCAATAAGCAGACTACTTGTAGGCTATCTTCGATCTAATTCTAGAAGCTATCACGAACTTTTCTCTAGGCTCTAAGAAGTTCGGACCTAAGATTTACAGTTATCTAAGATTATGGGAAGACTGAAGTTTCAAGCAGTTCTCATGTCTATCACAAACTCACTCTAGGTCCAGAAGTAGTTCACCCATCTCTAGCATTGTGGAGCTATTTTTTCTGTTCTCATACTTAATAAGTTTACTTTGCTTTGGTAGTGAACGACCAATATCCTGGGTAGAGGCACAACCCCATCATATATTATAAGACAGTATGATGTCTCTTTTTGAATGTCACTATGCAATGTTAACCTGCAACCTTTCCATTGAACCCACCTTAGAGTGATAAAGTCCGGGGGAGCCACTCTATGTACGGCCAACTACTAGTATATTTGTGTGGTCCCTTATCCCATCTCAGGGCTAGTTTACCGTGTAGTGCCTCTGATGAGGGAGCCCCTGACCATTTCCTCAAACGATAACGACACTCATCTCAAGCTAAATTATTTGTAACGACTCTAGATGTAATAACCCAAAATTTATAAGAAAAAAAAAGGGAAGGGAGGTGGTAAGTTGAGAGGTGGGGAGTTGGCCTCCACTATAAAAGGGAGGTTCCTCACTCCATTTTATCATCCCACTTGAACGGTTTGAAACCAGTCGGAGAATACACTCTCTAACGGCTCAAGGCCAGCATTTCGGATGATTTGGTTTGGGTCTAATATGCTCGGACCCTTTCCTTCTAGTTTTAACTCTTCGAAAGCGTTTAAGGTTAGTATGACTACCTTTTAGCTAGTTTAAAATTTTGGAGTAGTTTAAATTATTTATGCATAATTAGGCTTAGCTGGTTTAAATCATTAGGAGAAGTTTAAATTATTTTATGCAAAATTAGGTAAGTCAATTCTCATAGTAGAATTCTAACTTATAATTGTTGGAATCCTTAGGCAAAAATAAATTTTAGAGAGCACCGTTAAGCTAGCATCAATGAGTCATAGTAGCTTCGACTTATTTCAACCAAGTAAATGACCTTATTATCGGCTTGATCGGAAGACTTGCCTTATGTATGACGACACGTGCCCAGTGACCCTTGCACGTGTCATTTATGTTTTATGTTATGTGATGATGTAATGATCTTGTATTATGATGTGACTATGTTATGTAATGATGTCACGATGTTATGTGATGATGTGACGATGTTATATGGTGACAATGTTATGTGATGATGTGACGATGACGTGTCATTTCTTTCTCGAATGTTGCGTACCTTCTTTCTACCTTGTTAACTTCTGGATCTCGTATGCAATGGGGTGTCCCTCTTGCAGCATGACACCCCCAAGGGCGAAGTCTGACGCATCTGTTTCGACTTTGAAGGGTTTCATCACGTCAGCAATCCCCAAAATTGGCCCTTCCATCATGACATTCTTTAAGTTGTCGAAGGCTTCTTGACAATGTGGAGTCCAACTCCACTTGCTTCCCTTCTTTAATAGTTTAGTCAAGGGACCTGCGCGCTTCTTTAATAATTTGTTAACCCAAGGAAGGAGCGCACTTCTATCACTAAAGAGGGGGTCTTCCAATCCTTGATGGCTTTGACTTTCTCTTCTTCCATACCCACCCTGCCTGCTTCAATTACACGTCAGAGAAAGTTGATTTGCTGTTGCGCGAACACGCATTTTCCCCTCTTCACATATAGTTAGTGTTCTCTCAACTTTTCGAAAACTAACCGCAGGTGGTGTTGATGCTCTTCCATGGTGGAGCTGTAAACCATTATGTCATTCAAGTAAACTACCACGAATTTATCGAGGTACTCGTGGAAGACTTAGTTCATTAATGTATGAATGTGGCAGGGGCATTAGTCAGACCAAAATACATGACTAGGAATTCAAAGACCCCATATCTAGTAACGCAATTCGTTTTGGGCTCATCTCCCTTGGAAATCTGAACTTGATAGTATCCTGACCCTAAGAGTTTTGAGAAATATTTCGCACCATGTAATCGATTGAACAAGTCTATAATGATGGGCAAACGATATTTATTTCTGACAGTTATTTTGTTTAAGGCGCGGTAGTCTATGCATAGGTGAAGACTCTCGTCCTTCTTCTTCTGAAATAACACTGGGGCTCCGTAAGGAGCTTTCGCACGTCCGATGACCAGGGAAGTAAGTAGTTTATCCAGTTTTTTTCGTAGCTCTGCTAACTCAGGTGCATTCATTCTATACGAGTTCTTTTGTTAGTTATAAACTTATTTTTTTATTTATTTATTTTGCTTTATAAGTTTTTTTTTTTTTTGTTAAAAAAAAATTAATGGTCAGTATTTATTTTATTTATGTTGCTTATTTCTACATGAAAGAAGGCCGGAGATATTGGAAGTTATGGAAGGAACTAGTTTTTAAGGAGTGAAATAGTAGGAGTGGAAGGAGTGGTGGAGTGCTTGCTGATTTGCAGTAGAAATGGATAAATTTTTATTATATAAGGAAAATGGTGTCAAGTTCGAAAGACACCACAAAAAGAAGAAAATTAATTTGTGTGTCTTCACTTCTTCTCCTCTTCTGTTATTTTTTTTCTTTCAATTGGTATCAAAGCTACAAGATCAAGGCCTGTTTTCAATCATGTCTCACCTAGAGATTGAGCGGTCAAGAAGGGAGAGAGATCACAAAATGAGACAGGAATCGAATGACAGGAGCCAAAACACCGGTGCGATAGAAGGTGATGCTTCACATGAAGTGAGTGTACGGATTCAAGAAAAGGAG